ATGATGAGCATCAGCAAGAGTTACAAAATTGTACTGTATGTTTTAGCTCATGCTTCGCAAACCCCTGCCATTAAATTTGTTAAATTGTGTCTGGTTTAATTTTCGTTGAGCAGGTTTTGAGACATGGAAAAGTTTTCGAAGAGCCCTCAGGGATCCGTGGCACCCAAGTTCTTGCTTATTCTAAGAACATTCTGCTACTGGACTTGAGCGTTTCTAAGGAGATTCCGAAAGATCTGGATTTAACAGGTAATTCACCCCAGCCTTGTAAATATTTTCCTGGATACGGATTTAGCGTTTGAGAGTAGTGAAACCTCGGACCATTTAAGGATTTATGGTAATCTGAATCTGAAAATTATCTTCATTTAATCGCACCAATAACGACGTTTTATGATCCAGGAATGTCGGCAATAAAACGGCGATCGTAAAATCCCTACTTACACTATACTGTAATGTACAACAAAGTTTGCTTTCACTTCCCTTAACTTTCTGCCTCGTATTCAAATTCGAATATCAGTTATTAAATGCACAGTTACGCTAAAAAATTCGCAGTTTGCATGTTTGTTTTTTAGCGTAGATTTTCAGGCATCGCGCTGCACATTCATATCACTTGGCAGTAATTTAGCGTAATTATAATTTCTAAGAGATGCAATTCCGTAAAAATCCAATAGAGTATATAATTGGTTGAAAGAAAAACAGGTAAGCTCATGTAAATTTTGCAGATATTTTTGACATTACAGCATATGGACTGGAACATTTTGCATCTGGCTGACTCTTCTTCCTGTTCAGATAAAAAAAAAAATTGTCGACTCAGTCTGCCATGTTATGAGTCTTCCATGCAAGTGCAAACCATTGCCTCAGTATTTCGTCATGAAACAAACTTCCCCTACTCTTAAATGAAACCCCAAACGAAGCTTATTCGGTGCTTAGCGGAACATGTTCGGGAAAATTGGCGAGTATCCGCAAGCTTTCGCGGAAGATTCGGCAGGCATTTAGTGGAGGATTATGAGAACATTTTCGGGCTTGTCAAAATTAGCCCGTGTTCAGGGAGTCGAGCACGTGTCGTCCAGCAGGAAACAGAGCAGTTGAACGACGGAAAAAAAAAAAAAAAAAAACTGGGGAGCCGCCCGTGGGACAAGAGTTTACCCAGTGGGACGTCGCGAGATTCGACACTGACGCGTGTCGAAGCTGCAGCCTTGTCCAAATTACGCGACACGACACGTGCGTGCGTTTTCTGGGACTGCTCTTGTTTCCGCCCGCGAGCGGAATTTGCGGAGAATAAAATCCGCTCATTAGCGCAACCGGAAGCCGCGGGATGCTTATTATTTTTTTTTCTTCTTCCTTGTTCCTCGCGTTTGAGGATAAACTGGGTGTGAAAAAGAGCTTGGGATACAAGTATGGCACCCTGCTGAGTACCCAGGTTTTGATTGACATTTTCGTGCTTCGGTCTTTGTACAACCGCTGAAATCACGGTTCGAGTTCGGAACGAAAATTACCGCGCTTACTGAATTTCGATTGCGTCGCATTTTACTTTTCCTTTCTTCTACGAAATTAAATTGAATGCTGAATTCTCAATCTTATCTTCATTTAGGTGTGTCCTAAACCCTGGACTTCCGGGTATCAGTCAGATTTTCAAGCTTCAACATCATTGAAGAAGCAGAAGCAACAGCTGAAAATCTGAGTCCTGCCAAATGATTTGCTTTAATTTATTGATATACAAGATTTATTTGCTGCTTGTCAGCATTTACAAGGTTCACAAAAAATTCCCGCATTCCCTCCCACACATTCATTAGAATCATTCTAGCCCATCGTAATTAATACACTACACAGTTATTTCCAGAAAATAAATCACAATGCATAAGAATGCATAGAAATCACCATCCTTTTTTGAGAATAACACACAAGGAACATTTCTGCAAAAAAAAAATTGAAGCACAACGTGTTCAGCCTATTCTAAGATATTTTTTTCATCGAACTTGACAATTTTTAAAGGATATTTCAAAAATCATAAAGCGAACATTCTATCCTGGTTCTCGGAAATTTAGAAGAGTACCTTCTTATACAATTGTGAGTGCCCTAATTATTTTGAAAGTTAAATTCTTGTGGTGTGGAATGCTGCACATAGGAAAACAAGGTGTTCTGGTGATCTGCTATAATGAGGACATAAATACTTACGAAACGATACCAATATGCTCTCAATGGCTGATTAAATGCATAGCTAACGATTTAAAATATATTTTACACAATTTTTCACAAGTATCAAGAGTCCCATTTATGACATGCAAGACGATATTTTCAAAGAAAGTACCGAAAATTGGATAAAATCTAGCTTCTCAGTCCGGCCATGAAAATCTGTAATCTTCAGATGCTTCGCACTCCTTCTTTTCTTTTTTCGGTAATAGTGCGCATTAAGCTAAAATAAACATGGAATAGGTCCCATTGATGCAATGCGGGTTATACTTGCAGTTATTTAATCAAAGGGAATTTAGAATTTGTTTTTGTTACGCTGCGGTTCTCGCTAATTTTTATTTTATTTTATAACGATCTTTCAAAACACTTGGCGATGAGAAATGAAAACTCTTCGAGTATGGCTAAAGTTCAGCATTAATTTCATTGTGTGCTGGAGAATTTATTAAAGCATTTAGGTCCAGTCCTAAAATTTCATGGGAAAAGCACAACTTCAAATAATAATTGCCGCTAAAACCGCGATGTTTATGAATTTCGTCAGTTTAACTTTAATGTATCGTCGTTTGTTCAAAAGCCGTGAAACCCACGCGAGTAAGATCATCGTCAAACAATTTCCCCCCGTAAAATTCCGCACTCACCGCGACGTTCATGAATTTCATCATCAGCAGTTCCGAACGCGAACCCCTTGCAAAAAAAAAAAGGCAATCACGCGAACGCGTTGTCCCCTATTGTGCATGATGTGCACGCTAAGTCTGATTTGAATGCGAAATCCAACGGGCTTCGCTCGAACGGCTTCATCGACGATTGAATGCCTCTGAGGTTTAGTTTAGGCAAATGTGTGCGTCGCTTGCGGAGCTTCTTCGTGCGAGAAAAGGATGCTCTTCACGTGTGTGCGGCGTTCGCCAAATTTCAATTATTCGGGGAATTCGGGGTGTGTCGTATCTTGGTGAGAATGCCAACCCAAGAAACCCGATAAGCCGCGAATCACTGTACTGTACTGTACTGTACTTGTAACGCAAATCCGGGGCGAAGTGCTCCGTTTTCTTATTTGTTTCTCTTGAAATGCAAAAGATTAAAGAGCAATTGTACAAGTGGTCTCTCTCTATATATATAGAACTATCTAGTGTACAACGAATTACTCTGTACACTATAACGAATTTCCTAGGACAAATTCAATACTGTACTTACTCCAGTACCACGCACACCTTTTTTGTCAAATTTCAGAAGAAAAAAAGGGGTTCGCGTCATAAGCAGGTACAAATTTTTCAAGAAGTTTTAGAAAGTTAGGTGTGAATTATACTTGATTATAATGGAGAAATTAGGAAGAAATGTACCAAGAAAATTTTTATATGACTTTTTCAACTTTTAACTAGTCTAAAAACAAGTTAAGTACAGATTTCAGTTTAAATTTGTTTCTATTTCCTAAATTTTGTGGTTTTAGATTCACTAAAAATTGGGGTGCGCATCTTACTCGGGGATAAGATTTTAGCAAAATTTCCAGCTGAAAACCCCCTGTGCACGCCTTACTCAAGGGCGCGTGTTACTTGAGTAAATATGGTAATAAGGATTTATTTCCTGGATTGTATAGAACTGCAACAAAATTCAATGGACCATAAAAATTTCGTTATTTGGAAAGTTCGCTGTAGAGAACCCTGCGGGACCAGTAAACTGGTTCTCTCAAGTATAAAGTGTCCATAAAATACAGTGACATACAAGACGATATCTTTGAAGAAAGTACCGGGAATTGATCAATCCAAATTTTACAGGGGTTCTCAACAGTGAAATTCTCCCAACAACGATTTTTTCTCTCTGGTTCGTTGAATTTCGTTGCAGTTCGAGACAGTCCAGCACGTGTGTATTTTTGTCAGGGCGCATTTGCAGGATGCCTTCTGCATTTATTGTAATAAAATTATGTTATGTTTCCCGCAGAATACGAATCGAAGATTGCATTCCTTGTTTTCAATAATAAAATTGAATTGAATACAAGCCATTATAATAAAACTGCCATTGACATTGACCGAGAAATTAACGAAGTAATATAGCAAATGCCTGGACTTGCTCCGTGGCTTACTTTTCAAATTTGCCATTTCTCGAAATGAATGCAAATAATTTCCAAAAATTTGCCTCACAGAAGAACTTTGCACATTCGTTTGATTATCCTGGACCAGTGTAACCACTCCTCGAATTTCCGACGTACCACAGAAGCTGATGAAAATTCCCTCGAGAAAAGTTTTTTGTTATTTTTGATGCAAAATTATCTATTGTTTCTCGCGGAAAGCGAGTAAAGGATTTAATTCCTTGCTTCTAATAATAAATTCACTTGAAGACAACTCATCATAAAAATGCCATTTACATTGGCTATGAAATTCATTTGAAAATGCCTGAAACTTGCTCCAAGGCTTGACGGTTTTTCGGGAGAAAATGCCCATCATTTCCAATAACTTGCCCCACAGAAAAATTTTACCAATTATTCTGGATCACTCTACACTCCTTGAATTCTCGGCTTACCAGAGAAGGTGATGAAAATTTCCATCAGAAAAGTTTGTCGCGAGTTTCATCGGAAAAATCTCCAGCCGACGAGCTTTGAAGCCGCATTGAGAGAAAGAATGCGAGCGATACATGGGTCAACAGCGACATCTCATTGGTGGGATAAAAAACTCGAGACAAGACAGTGTTTCCGCGAGCTGATATTTCGCCGACTTACTTCGAATTTATTCAGACTCGACGAAATTAGCGTCAATTTTTCGGACATTCACAGCACACGGACGAGTGAGGAATTCCATGCGGGGTGGCAGTTCTTCAAAGACACGCAGTACTCACAAAATATTTAGTTGCATTTGTCTTCTAAGTAAAGCGCTTTTCTTGTTGACCAAGGAGAACCACTTCATAAGCAAGCGTTCTTCTTCCTCCTTACCACTGTCTGCAAAAGAAAAATATAAAGGCAATGTATCCAAAAAAATTGCATGTAATCATTCAGTGAAAAATTACAAGTGGTTCGAAAAGTTACTGTCCAGTGGGAAAGTTTCTTGCTACAACTACATGGTTACGTGTAGTGTGAAGCGACCGCACAAATGGGTCAAATTCTTTGAATATGTTGGGGGAAAATAAATATGGTCCGGGCAGTGTTGAGGAACCAGAAGTCCAGAACTCAGGCCCAGGGACGTCAGGTCCCAGGACCTGAATTCTGGTCCTGTTTTCCTTTGTGCATCTGTTCCGGGATGCATGACTTCTTCATGCACATTTTTTCCACCAATCACAAGCAAAGGAAAATGTCCAATGCTTTGGTCAATTCAGCAGACAGAAGCATTGTGCTAAATCCTATAAAAACCCAGCACTCTTCCACTCCCATTAATCAGTCCTCTAAATTAGCTCTTACAGTAAACTTCTTCCAAACATTCCAACCCCAATTCTTCTGATTGAATTGTCATTGCATTATTGCACCCTGAATTGGTGTGCACAAATTTATTGTTTTTATTGGATGTGTTTTGCATTACTGCATTTATTGTAATCCATTATTTTTGTCTTGTTTGATTGTGATTTACTGTGGACTGTGATTAAACCAGACAAAACTAGGGATATGTAATTAAGTTACCCCCTTAATTACATATTCCCAGCCGCAAACCGACTGATTGCCCTACCTTTTCTTCCACCTTTTCTTCCACTGCGGTATGGTTCAATCCTTTACGTTGGGTTTTTTAATTCCTCAACAAGCAGGAAGAATGGAAAAATTTTTCTGTTAATCCTCAATGAAATTGCACTTGTATTGGGAGATTTGCGGAGATCAACAAAGGCTTAATTAAGATTTGAAATAGAAATGAACACCAATTAGCCTGGGACTGGCTGCAAACTTTCTGGTACAAGGAAGTTCCTGAATAAGAGTTTTAATCAGTCCCAAACATACATCAGCACCCCTCAAGCAATCTTTCGCACACCAGAATAAAATAATCGTTTTATGTTCTCAGCAAGGGTTTTTTGAGAACAAAAAAGAGTCATTCGTTCTAAAGGTATTTTAGCTAGTGGGGAAAGGGATTCTGTAATTTAATAATTATCGGTCTTTTGGGGATTTCCATGGGCAAAGTAAATTTAGCCAAATATGGGAAGAGCAGAAGAATATTTCGAGACTGGTTTTGCTCACAAAGAATTTATTTTTCAGAGCTTGACTTTCAAAGTCCAGTTTCAAACCTCGTGGGAAGTCGTGGATGGACATATATTTTTTTATTTACCGGTCCTTCTGTTTTCAAGTCCCCAATACCTCGGAACCCAATTAATACTACAGTATTTTAATTCTGTTGTTATGCACCAAAGATGTACCGAGCAGCACGTGGACTTTTTGGATGGAGTAAAATTGAAAATCAATTATGACTCCCCGTGACATCTATAACCACAGTGAAACAATTGTATAATGGATATAAATGACAGTTTGACCCCGACATGCGGACAAATCAACTTATAAACACTTCAAATTTAAAATAAACCTGCCGAACATCTGGAAAATGTCTCAAGATACGGAAACTTTTCCAACATTATTCGTCCTCGAAAAATTAAATTTTTAAAACATTTTTATATACCTTGAACCGATTCAGCTACATATATAAAAAATCAAATTTGATCATAACACTGACGTAATTCAAAATCAAAAACAGGCTAATTTTGCGTTTCTTTTTCAGATCATTTTCTATCATTTGTGCACAGTATAGCTATAGACTACTTCTTGTTCGTTTCTTCTTCTCACGCCAAAAGATGAGATTCTGCTGCTTTTTCTTCTGCACATTTATTTTTTGTATCTTAAATTTGAGAAAAATATGTTATTCATTTTTTGGGGGGACTTTATTCTTAATACACATGAGAATCGATTAAGTATGTCCCCATTGAAAGGTGTAGGAAAACGTGATCCAACACATGGATGCTCCAACGAAATCTCGGAGGCCACGCTGCAGAAACGTATCACGTGGACTGCAAAACTTTCATAATAGCGCATACACTTTTTGGACGCCCTTCAGCTCTGCATAAAATCGAAAGAATACTGCGGGGCTCGGAAGAAAGGAACGTGCTTCAATCTCACATTCTTACACACTCGGTAAGAACCTTATTCGCTGGACAGTGTAGCGTGCAAGGCAAAAAGGACTCAGAGAGAGAGAGAGAGAGAAAAATACGGGGCCGCACTCACTAGAGCTCATCGCATCGCGGACTTTTCTCTCTAGACGAGATGCTTCTTGATCGATATGGTCTTGTTCCCTTTCTAACGACTCCAACTCGACTTGAATGTACATTGATTTTGTCTGAAAAATGCACGGAAGCCACAGTCACAGGTTCTCCAGCTTTCGAACACTCGTGCACCACTTTGATTTTTTTTACGAATGTAATTGCAATTAAACTAAATTCGAAGTGAATAAGCCGATGAAAATTTTATTGAAAAGTGAGACCCCGAGATACGGACACCACGACATATGGACGGTCCAAATTAGGGACACTTGGAGGGGAAAAAAATTAACCCCATACATCTGGCAGTGACTCGTCGAGATGGGGGACACTTTTCCAAGATTTCAAGAAGAATTTCAAAATTTTATTTCTCCAAGTTTTTGTATTTCTTGAAGAAATTTAGCCATTTACATTTTGAAATACTGAAAATAAATTTCAGTGTAAAATATTGCTCAAATTCACAACCATAAACAGGCTTATTCGGTGCTTTTTTTTAAATTTTTTTAGTTGTTTCCATCATGTTGCAAAACTTGTTCGTGTTCTTTGCTTCTTGAGCTCCTTTTGATGCCAGAAGATCAGATTATGTTTGGTTTTCTTCTGTACATTTATTCTCGGTATCTTACAAAGTTGAGAAAAATTATTTTATTCAAGTTTTGAATGACTTTTTCTCAATTATTCCTCGTCTATAGGAGAAACAATTTTAAAAAGTTCATTGACGTCTATGGAAAAACAAGGTCTGACACGCAGACGTTCCGACATAGGGACAAGGTCCATGCACCAATTACAACGTCCGCATCTCGGGGTCCCACTGCTGTAGACGTGTAGGTTTACCGGAAACGAAAAAACTGGTCAGCAGTTAGGGAACCGGAAAGAGGGGTCTAATCAATGCGAATGACTTTGGGAGGTAGCTCTACTAGACTCGGGTCACAGGGAATTTTATCAAGTCAAAGGCTCACCTTTACTTGAGCCTGATGATCTGCTTCATCGTTGCCTGTATTAGCTTGGCTCTGCGAAGGATCTGTGGAAGATAATCGGGATCTGATTCATAAATTGGATTATACCGGTGGTCTCCCCCCCCCCTTTTTTTTTTTTTTTTTTTTTTTTTTTTT